GAATTCTGGGAGTTGAAGTCCACCCCTCTTAAAGTTGCTGAGGTTGAGGAACCCTGTGCTAAGTCACAAAAAAGACTAAAGAAGGTTGATGCCTGATGTAGTACGGAATGCATCGACTACCTGGCCTGGTTATAAATGATGTGTGAACCCAGCCATAGTATGTTTTGGGAGAGAATAACTGGGTTCACACAGCATATCACAGTATAATTTAGCTCAGGTGGTGGTAGGAGACCAACCACTGTGGTTGGTAAACCAGGGTTTATGGCTTTGCATCTTGTGCAAATCCAGCCAATTGTGACTTAAAATCCACCATAATTAAGCAGCTTTTAGCATGATGTGTTGAGCAACGCTCCATGTTCCTGATAAAGAAATCTGTAGGCTAGAAAGCTCATGCTACATTAAATGTGTTAGTCTTTGAGGTATCATAAGACTCTGTTCATTTTGCTGAATTAACAGTAGCAAATTCCTCAAGGTAAGAGCTGATTTCCTTATTTTCTGCCCCAATACATCTTTCTGCAGTTGGACCTAGAAAACAATCCCCAATTAACTAATGTCTACCACCGAAGCTGTTTTATATGTAGCCCTTTCTTCCTGTACATTCCTTAAGTGGAAAAAAAGTGTATTTACTTATTGGATGGATGGCTGGGTTTATTTATATTCCCCTTTTTATTCAATTTGAGGATGTGAGTTGGCTAGAACTACATAAAATGTGGGAAGCCAGAAGTATACAACTCAGGAATTTGAGTAAAAGCCAGTGTACTTAAGCATACATCTCAATATGTATTGACTTATACGGATCAATATTTGAAATGCTATGCCCCTTCTGTGTACCCCAGTGATTGGCCCAACACACCACTGTCACGGGCATTGTCCTCAAGAGCCCATTGTAACTTTGGGACAGCTAACGAATGCAGTGCCTGTTTCCCAGGAATTTCATCCTCAAGAAAATGCCCTTGCCTATGAATGACATTGCTGTGGCTTACCGGAGCCATCCAGAGAAAATGGAGGAAGTTGTGCACAAGGTAAAAAGGGGGAAGGGCTGCTGAAAGAGAAGGGCTAATAATTTGACCTAGGAGACAACCTTGTTCAGCTTGAAAGCCCCTTTTGAATGCTCAGATTCCACCAAAGGACTTATGTACAGAATTGATGTAACCACACATGTTCTAAGATGATGAGCATATGGTATTTATTTTGGGGTAAGTGTGAATGCTTGTCTTGGTAGAAGGGAAAATGCATATCTATACCTTGGGTGTGTGACACATGTGTATGTGTGCTACAGATGCAGTCTTACCTTGCAAGAAATCAGATTCAAGAGAATCTGCCCAAGGAGAAATGCGAGCGCCAGCTAGCCAGTAAAGCCAGCTCTTCTGAACAGGTGGGAAAACCTGGAGCCCTCCAACTTTGTCGCTTTGCATCTACCTTGCCTAAGCCTTCTAGCAAGGGCAAAAGATATTGCTTAAATCAGCCCAGGTCAAACTGCACATCAGTTGACTAGGAATGTTGAGAGTTGAAATTCAGCACATCTAAAAGATGCTGCTTGGAGAAGACTGATGTAAAGACTATGAGCTGTTCCCAATGGGTCCATCAAGATTGCCAGCAATAAGAATAAAATCCCTATTACGACAGGTCAAAATGTTGAAGTGCTTCACAGTTGTTATCTTCCAGGACTCCTTACAACAACGCTGTAAGGTTATTATTATGATCCATAGCAGATGGGGACACCAAGGTTCAGGAACAATTCTGGGTCCATGTTTGAGGGCAACCTCCTCAATGAAATGTGCCCTCTCGTTCTCAACCTGCAAACCTCCACAGTGGCCGACCTCCAATACAAACTGGGTTGCTGTTACAAATTAAATGTTACAATCTGAAGCAGGGGGGGGGGCTATTTACATTTCCCAAAACACTAGAGTGCTCTGGAATTGGAAATGTGACAATGTCTTTTTGCAAATGTCTCCCCCATAGAGCATTCAGGATGGGAAATATCAATGCTTTGTTGGGGTGTGGCATTTGCCCAACAATCCTGATCCTGATGCTGATCCTGGAGAAAGATTTCTTGCCTATAGCCTCCAAATCAGTTAATAAGCATCCCTGTCCCCCGATGAGTTGGACCCAATGGGTCCATCCAGTTTACAGCACAGGGTAGCATAGTTCCATCTGAATTCTGACTAGTGTGTGAAGGAACTGAAGATGATGGAAAACTTGAAAACCACATTAAAGCAGATTCCTCTTTTATACCCATTATCTCTTTAAATCTAGAAGGCTGGACAATCCAGCTTCTCTCAGCATTGGCCAAGGACTGCAGGCACTTCTATAAGGCCGCAGGTTCCTCACTAGTGGTAAACATTTATCAAGGGATCCCCTCCTTTCATTTTTAAAGGACCATTAAGCAATACTTTTCCCCAACTTGGAACGTCTACTCAGAGCGGCCTTTGGTTAGAGATTCTGGAAGTTGAAATCCAGTACACTTGGGGGAACCAGTGTAGAACAGGCTACAATACTTTGAATTTTATGTGGGACAATGAAGGTTATGGGCAAAGGAATAAAGGTACGGGTCATCTAGATTTACACTAGAAATGCATCCAGTGTATGTCCACACTAATCCAGAAGAAGCCTACCAGCCCTATTCCAACAAAAGTATGGCAGGTAAAATATTTAAAAAAATGTTTTTGAGGGATCAGACAGCCTTCTGGTTCAGTTTCATTTTCTAGTGCAGACATTCTTAGCAATGCAGCAAGGCCAAAAGCAGGGTCTTGGAACAGCTTTGTAATGATCTTGCTTTCTTTGTTAGGCAGTGAAAGATGCTTGCCAGTCTGTGCAGAAATACATTGGGCTGCTGAGCTGTGTTCAGGATGTGGAAGTTAAGGCTGATATACTTTGGGCTGAGGAAGCCGTCAAGGACGCAACCCTTTTCATGGATGTGAGTTTTTCTTCATTGTGTCCATTCATTTCTTTCCCTTCTGACACTTTTCTTGATTTGGAATACAGTATGGGCAGCTATCAGTTTCATTGCCCAGCCTGATATCCCCAACATACTAAGTCAAAATGGTCTTCAGAGTCCATTTCAGAGTTAGTTAGTTACGTGAATCCAGCCATTGTGGCTTGTAGGCCAGGACTAGTGGTTTACTTGGTGGAGAGAGCCCAAACAATTACAGAGTATTCAGCAAACAGTGATGAAAATGAACCACAGCTTAGAGTTTTGTGTGAATGAAGCCTCAATTTCTTTGCAGGGGGCATGCCATAAAGAAATCTATGATTAATGGCAGAATGTTAGGCCTGGGACTGAAGGCACTTTTTAAAATTATGTTACAGATTTAGGTATGCCTGCATTTTAATTTCTTACAGAGAAACTAGAGCTTTTGATCACCACGCGATTGTTGCATAATCTTCTCTCAAGGATCTAACCTGGGGCACAAATTCTAGCTACATAGCAGCCCAAGTGCCCCTATGTTGTTGTTGT